ATTTTGAAGAATTACCATTTGATTTGCAAATCTGAAAATGAGTTATTCCTTTTTTAATAAGTTCAGTAAATTATTTTCTTATCTTATTTTGTAGAATGTGTCAAATAACATTGGGAGAGGCACCGTTAAAGAATGGGTTAAAAGAAAAACAATGTGCCTTGTTTTTTAATAATATTATTTTGTCAATTTTTATTAACATATTGCCATGTGTGAAGATTGTCGTTAAAGAATTTTTTCAATACGATTGAATTTAAAGCTTGCTCTATGGTTCAGAATGATTATTTAATATGGAAGATAATCTTTATCATATCCTTCCTAAATTTTTAATTGGTACAAAATAGAAGTAATCAGAGTTTTTACAGTGTTTGTTCTTCATATATGTATATATATAGTATAGATAATTGATCTAACTTATCCAATACAGAGTATTTTTTTTAATGTTTTTGCGACGATTATTGGAATAAAATGAAACTATTGATTACATAAAAGTAAATTCATCTTGTTTGGAAAAAAGAAAAATTTGATCTTGTGTATTGTGTGGGTGATGCTTTACTAGCAATGTGATGTGGTAGAATTTTTGTTTTTAAATTCATTAAATTGTTTTTGTATTTATTATCCATTGGTAGAATTTTCTGTATAAGAATTGGTTTTAAGAAATGGAGCATAAGGTTACTATAGTTGAGAAGTTGAAATTTAGTTATATCATGGGAATTGTAATGCTATTATTGGTTCTAGAATTGTACTCCTCCGGTCCTTAATATAGGACTCAATTGTTGAGTTGATTTAGACCAATTTCTCATATTTATCAATTTTCTCTAAATTACCCCTATGGATATTCCCTCAACTAGAATTAAATAGAAGAGGAAGATGGGGTATTAAGAAAGATGATTATGGTGTTTTAGGAAAAAATGTGTCACTTTTTTTATAATTAGCCAACTTACCTAACTTTCTTAATCTAATCAAATTAGTTAAATGGGTCTTATATTAAGGACCGGAAGAGTATTTATTATCCATTGGTAGAATTTTCTTTATAAGCATGATGATTAATGTTGTCATTATGACAACTTGCCGTTGGACAACCCTTTAATACACATACTAAAAAAGATTTACATGGTTTTAATTAGATATATAACTAATTTTAAAAATATTTAATAACATTAATTTTCTTTTTTAAATGCCTTTTATAAATTGTGTTGTAGACAGAAATAAAGATATATGGTAATTGATGTTATCATGGTAATAATTGTTTGTTTTTCTTAATCAAATTAAACATGTTACTTTTTTTTTTTTAATGTTATCATGTATAAAGTGAACTTGCTTATCAAATTAAATATGCATCTGACAAAAAAAAAACAAAAGTTACATATAAATCCATTGTAGCATTTTTTTATTATTCACTTCTTATACGATATAAAAATTCAATAGTATTATTACATGAAATCTAAAATAAACCATGCTATTTACAATTTGTGAATAATGGAACTTTTAACAATGTTCATAGATATATTGACGATTTATTTCATATTAGCCTACAATGTTATTAAAATTTAGACCTCACATTTTTTTCAATAAATTAAACATAAATAGATATTATTTAATTTAATCCTACCAACTGAATAAACTAATTGACGGGCCAACGCAGAAAAACATGAGTGACACAAAATCCATATATTGTAGCATGTCTGCTTATTCACTTTTTCTATTATATTCTAAAAAAATATTTAATTCAAATCATTATTAATTTTTGTACCAACTGAATGAAATATTCGATCCGTTGTTTTTATCGTTTATTTCAAAATTTTTTTTGAAATTTGTTTATTATTTTAATATTTTAATACCCTATTAACTACTTTTTTTGACCAGGAATACACTATTAACTACTACTCCTCTATTTTAATTATGTCTATATTAATTGGTCTAATAAATTAAGAACATATTAACAAAGTTAAAATAAATTGAAACATAGCAACTACATTTCTTAATCTATATATTAAAACTTTAAACTAAAAGGAACAGTAGTGGGCCAAGTTAGTTGAACATTATCTCCCTTTCTCTCACACGCGCGCGCGGACACACACACACGCATATGAAATGCACTCGTTTGAGCAAGAATATAACTATTTATTATATGAATATGCAAGAATCTTGCAACATGAAAATACTACTTCATGTCCTAAATATAAGAACTAGTTGACTAATTTGAAAAGATTAAAAAAATAAGTTAAGTTAATTATTTGTAATAAATATGTGTTGTTTTTTCTAAAATAATCTCGTTAATTAAGTATCTTGATTAAAACTATTATTATTTGAAGAATTACCTTGGAAAAAAATATACAAATATGAAAAAAAAATAGATTGATATCTTATATTTAAAACCAAAATAAATATTAAACAAGGTCTTATATTAAAGACCAGAGATAGTATATATAATATAAGAAATAACAACATAATCCAGAAAAGAAGCATTTGTCTGATTTGATGTCTTCACATTCACCCTTTACCATTCTCTAATCTTTTTTTATTTTTAAAAGAACAATCATTCTCTAATCTCTTGCTGAGCCAGTTATGAACAAGCGTTGATATCTAAATTGCGTTTCTCACATTTACTTGCACAACAAAATGTGTGATAAATAATATTAAAGGCTAGTTTGTTTAAAATACAAGAAAAAGTGATTTCGATTTGAGAACACATTCATATTCAATTCCCTCCTACTCCACCAACTAGTATTGGTCCAAATAAAAGGGACTTAGGCATATTAAATATCATGTTCTAGGTTTGACCCTTAGAGCAATGTGTATAGAACAAACACTGTTGGGAGGAGTCCCTGCTACCTCGCCTGATAATATCCTAAGAGATTAGTGTCTTACTATTCAGTTGGGAGGATACTTTGGGTAACAAAAAAAAAAAACTCCTTCCCACTTCCCTCTTCTTCCCCCTGCTAAAATTATTATTTTTTAATTTTAAGCAAACTAGCACTAACATTATTTATTATTTTTATTTATAGAAAACTTAAAAAATTATTTTATGGATATAAGAAGGAAATATATTACTACTTTCAGTACTAAATATAAGATTTAGTTTAATTTATGGTATAATTTAAACTAAAAATTATATTTTATATTAAAAACTAGAGACAATAACATCCTTGACACTACATTTTGACATAAAATTTTAAGATATTAGTATGAAAAAATCCCAAAAAAGTTCAAAAATATGGGGCTTGTTTGGTTTCTTGTTTTGAAAACAATTTTTTATTTTTAAAAACAGAAAAACAAAAAAAATTGTTTGGTAATTTGTTATTAGTTGATTGTTTTAAAAACCAAAAAATAGTAACATGTTTTTAAAAAAACAAAAAACCAAAACAACTTTTAAATATTTTTTTGTTTGGACAAATGACAAATAAAGACCCTTGAATTACTAAAATTATGCGAAGGTCACCTAAACAAGCAAAATTATTATGAAGGACCCAGTCTCATATTGCAAACATGAAATCTTAGTGAAGTGTCTGAAATGCCCCTTAGTCAAGTTGTGATTTGGTCTACTGAAGTTGTTATTTGCTAAAGCAAACTTGTTATTTCCTATAGTCACCTTGTCATTTGGCATATTTTCAACCAAGTTGTGATTTGATCTACTGAAATTATTATTCGCTAAAGTAAACTTGTCATTTCCTATAGTCAACTTGTTATTTAGTTGAGGGATATTTCAGACATTTCACTAAGATTTCATATTTTTAATATGCCATCTCAACGTACAATTTTACTTATATAGTTGACCTTTGCATAATTTTAGTAATTCAGGAGTCTTTATTTGTCATTTTTTTAATTTTTATTTTTGTGCTTTTTATTTTTTATTTTGAAAAGTTTTGAAAAGTTTTCTTATTTTCTCACTCATTATCTATCACTTATTATTAGTTAGGACAACTATCACCTATCAAATATAGTTTTCTATAGTTTTTTTTTAAAACGTGATTTTTTAAAATTACTATCTAAACAAATTGTTTTGTGTTTTTGTTTTCAAAACTTGTTCTAAAAAACAATTTTATAAAATTGTCGTAAGAAAAAAAATAAAGAACAAAAACAAACATGCCCATAAATTCCCAAATTGAATTTAACAAATGACAATTCATACACAAGTGTCAAAATTAAATTTAAAGATATTGTGAAATGACTTTTATGCCTTTTGAGTTTTTTTTTTTTGGGTTTTATATGCCATCTCAACGTACAATTTTTGTTAAAAGCATGTTAAAATAAATGAATGAAGCCTCCTTCAAGTTATTTACGAATTTTATTTAGCAATTCACTACCCACGTTAGTTATTTATTATAATTGTTTAGCAATTAGCAACTATTATTTCTAAATACTACCTTCGATCCTAATTATAAAATTTTGTTTGTAATTTATAAATAAAGTCTTATAATTAAGGCTAGAAATAATATTAAACTTGTTAAAGTAAATGAATGAGACTCCCTTGTGAGGTTATTTATAACTTTTGTTTAGCAATTTACCATATGTCATTAGTTATTTACCATAATAGTTTATCAATAATTAATAATATTTTATTTTCAAATTTCAAACTTGTTAAAATAAATAAGACGCCTTCTTTAGATGATTTGCAACTTTCATTTAAAGTTTACGGGAGTCATATGCAATGCACCTAAAATTTAACGGAGTTACATATATATTTTTTCCCAAAAAATTAGCATTTAAAATACCTCGCAAGATTAAAAATATATTACTGATCATTATTGCATTAATTTATACATTATAAAATTTAGATATTGTTTTTTCTATTTGATATCACCTTATGATATTTTAAATTATAAATACTATAGTGGATACTCCGAGTAGAAATGTATTTTGTTATAAGCTGTTTACTTTTTAGTAAAAATAAAACGCATTAAACGACATTAATATTGGCGTCGTTTGGATGGCGAACCGCCAGTTACAAAAGCTAAATCCGAGGCTCAAACGTACACCGAAACTGACGCAGCCGATATCAACTAGTTCGAGTGGAGACATAGGTGGGCCCTCGTCGGACGAAATTATCTGGCCACCAGCAATGGCGGTTTCTGGCGAGCGAAGTGAATCTTCATCCTCGTCCTTCTCCTTGTCCAATTTAACTCAGGCATTTCCTTTCTCTTCTGGAAACCCTAGAATCGAGGAGACTAGAGGCGTCATGCATCTCTATCGCGAGGATCCCACGTCCTCATCGCCTTCTGATCTTCCTGTAAGCGCATTCTTTTAATTATATATGATAAATGAAATTATGTGGGGTTTTATTTCAATGCGAAGTTGATTATTGGGGAAGGGAGAATACAAATTTCCTCTATAGTTTCTTAACCACCTTGATTTAGCTGGTACATTATAAATTCTAGCATAATGCATGTAAAGTTATTTCTGTCAGTTTTGATGGTATGTTAAATTCAGATTTAGAAGCTGTAATTTATTCTTTTTATCTGGATCATGCGATGGGTTTCAAACAGAGCTACCTTTCTAAGATATTTGTAGGTGGACGCTTGATCATTTGATTAGTTATGTCATTTTATATATAACTCGCCGATGAATTTTTTAAAACAAAATTAAAAATTGTGGGTCTGGTGGTTCCGGGAGGATACATTAAAGTAAGGAACAAGTCACCTCACATTTTCAAGTTTAAATTTGTTGTCAGCTGAGGACTGACCTCACTCTTAAGACTATGCCCAGAAATTTCATTTTAAAGAAGCTTCATATTCTTAACTCTTTAGCTTTGATCATTGTGAAAAGACTTGGAAGACCAGATAATATGATATTAAATTTCAATTTGTTGAAGGTTGGACGGAAACCACTTGTCTGTGTGCTTGGAGTGCCAAATCACATGACCTATGCAGATTTTTGCCAGTTCTGCGGTTCATTTATTCAGCACATCTTAGAGATGCGGATTGTCAGGTTAATTTATGTGCTGAGGAATTTCTGTTCTGTTTTGTTCCTTTTCCTGTATTCCTGTCCGATTTATTTACTTTGGTTGTTCATTCGGGTTGGTTTAGAAATGATGGGATGGAAGATCAGTACAGTGTTTTAATTCGTTTTGATGACCAAGATTCTACAGATGGTTTCTACAAGCATTATAATAGGCGTCGTTTCTCATCTATGGAGGTTTGTTTGTGTTGATGATTATTTTCTTGCTCTTTTTATTTTTCCCCCCACCAGGGGACTCATTATTTCCAGGAAAAGTAAATGAATAAATATTTAGGAATGTGTTTTTCTGTTTGTGTTATTGCTATGTGCTTCTCTTTTCTATGCATAGGTGGAAGTTTGCTGTGTTCTGTTCACATTGGATGTGCAGTACACTGGCCTGATTGAACATGCGCAGGCATCTAATGCTAGCTCAACTGAACAGCCTGCATGTCCAGTGTGCTTAGGTATGTTCTCTTCTCTTTGCCTTGTGTTCACGTGTCTATCTGTGATGATGAGTTTTATTTGTATATCATATACCAGCTGTTATAACTCTTTCAAGTACTCCGTAATGTCACATGTAAGGAAGTTTGCTGACATGTTTATGTCAATGACAAATGCTTTACCTGCAGAGAGATTGGATCAAGATACAAGTGGAATTCTTACAACTATTTGCAATCATTCTTTCCATTGTTCCTGTATATCAAAATGGGCGGATTCATCTTGTCCTGTAATTTTCTCCCTACCGTTGTTTTTTTCCCCATACATAAACTTGGATGTTATAGAGCATGGGCATGACTGCAAAAAGTTCATCTGTACTTGTTGGGCTGCTTTTGGTGTTGGGATGTTTTAGTGCCCTTTTTGCCTTCTAATTTAGTGTTGCTTTCATCTGTAGCTTCTCTATTAGTTAGACGTTAAGAGTTAATTTATCCAGTCTTGGTGTGTATTAGCCAATAAATTATTTACTGGTCTCCCTCATTGTTTTCCAGGTATGCCGATATTGTCAGCAGCAGGCTGAAAAATCTACATGTTTTGTTTGTCAAACCACTGAAAACCTCAGCATATGCGTTATTTGTGGGTTTGTTGGCTGTGGAAAGTAAGAACTCTGTCTCCCAAGCCCTTTCCCTTCCTTTTTTGACTTGCTCCCAATTATGGTTCTTTGGAATTCCTAAGAAAGTCTTTATTTAGATACAAAGCAGGACATGCCAAAATACACTGGAAAGAGACACAGCATTGCTACTTCCAAGAAGTGGAAACACAGAGAGTATGGGATTATGTGAAAGACAACTATGTTCATAGACTAATCCTGTCCAAAACTGATGGGAAGTTAGTTGAGTTAAACTCTCACTGTGAGCATGCAGGCACTGGATGTGGAAGTTGCAGCTGTGAAGATAATGCTATGAGTGAGGCTATACTTAACAGTAAAGTCGAAGCTGTAATGTTGCAAGACTTGTTTCATATCTTAGGCCTAGTTTCTTTTATCTGTTGAGTTTTTTTAATTCTCATTTTCTTTGACAGATTGTCAACGAGTACAATGAATTGCTTGCTACACAACTTGAAAACCAAAAATTAGTAAGTTCATATTTATTTATTTATTTATTTTAAGTGACTCTTTCTAGGCTGCTATGCTATGCTAGGATAAATGACTTAGAAATCTTAAACGTGTATCAATTCTCTTTCCCATTCTTATTGTAGTACTTTGAGTCCTTACTACAAGAAGTAAAAGAAGAAACTGAAAGAGAAATTTCTAAAGCTGTTGAGAAGGCCGTTGCTGTTAAGCTGCAGAAGTTGCAGTCCAAGCTTGACAGATGTTATAAGGAGAAGAAATTTTTGGATGATGTAAGTAGAAATCCTTGAGAAGCTGTTTGGATTTATTGAAGCCATGACACGTAATCGTTCCTCGAATTTTGTATTGTCTCAGTAATACTACATGAGGATTAGAAACTTTTGTTGCTGATGCGAAGTTAATTTGTGGTTGTCTCTGTCTGCAGCTAAATGAGAATCTGCTGAAAAATCAGGAGATCTGGAAAGCCAAGATACTTGAGATTGAAGAAAGGTATGTTTTTAACATTTCCTCTAATGTTTCCTTCTCTCTTGAATATCACCTTCTCATGAGATTTAAGCTACAAAAAACTGGTTACTGAAATTCTTTGATGTATATGGAAAGGAGTAAATTTACCTTGTGTAAATATTGTTTGAAGATGTTTTGCTTTATTACATATTTGTTGTCAATTACATTAAGGTTTGATTGCATGTGAATTTAGTTTGAAGATGCTTTCTTGCCATTGTTCTTTGTCATACTTTTTTTTCCGATGCATCTCATGTTTTCCATCTCCTATTGTTTCTTGTCATTCTTGTTCTGATTCTTCAGTACTTGTGAGTGGATATTGTAGTGTAATCTCTGCAGTATGCATGACGTCATGAACACGTATCTTGCATGTTCATGACTGCAAGATTACAGTCAGGTATAGTTGAATTTGTTGTCAGGATTACAGTCAATATTACATTCTATTATTGACTGCTTTCCTTGGGATTTAATTTTAGGTATGTTTCTTTTCCTGCCTTTCTATTTGGGGGCTCACGTATCCCCTTGACATCTACAACTTGTTGTAGGAAGTATGAAATTGAAATTTTTAAAAGCTAGTCAGTGATCAAATCGTTTTTTTTTCCTCCCTAGGGAGAAAAAGGCCGTAAAACTCAAGGATGATAAAATAAGGGCCCTGGAAGAGCAGGTGAAATATACGATTATCTTGTTTATTTAATTTTAAAGTCTGGTCAATTTTTTTAATATTTGTACACATCACACGTAAAATCTAATCGACCTGCTATTGATAAACACTTAAATTTTGTAGTTAAGAGATCTCATGGTTTGTCTCGAAAATGGGAAGACAAACGAACAGCTATCCGGGTCAGATGGAACAAGAGACGGAACGTCTGTTCCCACTTAAGTAGAATCTGGCTCTGAGCTGCGCAAGGAAGGTAACAAGGGAAGAAGCCAGAAGAATAGATCATCCATTTATAGCTGGTGTTCTTGGTTGTAGATATGGTATGACCCATGTGCGGTAACTCTCAGAGCAGCAGATTACTTTTGGAACCTTGAACTTGCAGGTGGTTTCATAGGAAGGGAGATTTTTCTCCCCGATTTTTGTACTTTCAAAGCTTAGGTCTCATAATTCATGTACAGATTGTTCCACATGAATTCTATTTTCAGGTGAAAGCATGACTTGACTATCTCATACGGGTGGATTTATATAGATGTTAGGTAGAACTTGAAAAGAGAAAATTATAGCAATAGCAAAATATTCTAATGGATTGTTCCCTACCACAGATTTGTACGTCAGTTGGCCTTCAGAGAGCATAGTTTTTATTTTTTGCCGTATATGTTCATTGTCAGGCTGTGATCATTACCTGTCTTGATTGTTGTGTAGCACACAACAGAACCGTTCTGCCGTACGGTTATGAGTTGGCATTTTATTTTGGATTTTTTTTTTCCAGGAAAAACGTGACCAGTATGTTCGGTCCATTACCACAGTTTCGATGTTCTTTATGCCTCGTTTATGTTAAAGAAGATATTGATAGAAACTTGATGTTTTTTAATTTTGGCACTATCAACGGATGCCTAATTGTCTAGTTTCCTTGCACCTTCCTTTTTCATGTTAGCTTGCTTGCTACTTAAAATAGTTGTTCGTTTAGCTAAAGTATGACGGGATAATAGTGCTAAAGATCTTGCAGACGAGTGGCCAAGTCAGTATTCTATGGCTTGTTTTGTACCTTGGCATTAATGGGAGCTCGAGCTGAATATCATTGGCATTAAGGGCTATTTATCTGATGGTTGGTGTTCAAAGCTTGAGAGATTTTGTGGTGACAATGGCTTACTTTCTCGTTGTATAGTTTATAATAATGGCTACCTTTACTGTTACACTAATGACTCTAAGGTAAATGTCTCTTGCTTGTAAATATAAATGAAATAAATTTTCCGAATCAGATAAATATCTTGCTAAAATATCTTGATTGATTTTTTTAATATAAGAAGACACAATTTATATAAAACATAAACTCCAAAGCATTTTAATCGGTTGCTTTATATGGAGATGAAAGCTTGATTTTGCCCCGTTGGCTTTCCAACTCATTCGCAAGACTAAATATCACACTTAACGAAATCAAAGTTTACACATTTTCATAATTGTCAATTATGAGACGTAAAGGAGTTCAAGCATATATAGTGCTTCCTTGTTTTGGACTATGCGTTACGCAAAATCTGACACGAATCTCATCCTTTATAACTAATTATGAACATCTTAACTTTCCCCATATCTTTCTCCTATGTGAAATTTGGAAGGAAAAAAAAAAAACACACTTTCCCTGTATTTATTATCTGATGATCATGAATCGATGTTGTGTTATTGCTCAGTGCTTTTTGCAGTGAATAAATGACGATGAACAACTTGTCTCTGTCATCAACCAAGCACTTCTCAGGTATATATGATCTCCTACAATCTTGTGTCTTTTGATAACTCTGATGTTGATAGAGTACGAAGCACACCTCCGGTCTTAAATATGAAATTCATTTTATAGTGTAATTTGTATTACAAAATGAGTCTTATAAATGGGATCAGATGAGTACTATACAATAACCTTGTATGAAGAAGACATGAAATTCATTCATTGCTCTTTCGGCTACTATTCCTGGCTTGAAAATGGTCATCATCAGTCATCTCCATTATCTCATCAAGATAATGATCTTGTGAATTAATGTATAATTTTTTTTAATATCACCCAGATAAAATAGATAGATCATAATTATGGGATATTAAAATACTTTAACAATAAGCTGACTAAACCTTTTGCAGATATATAACTTATCCTACAAAGTAACCAAGACATGTAAATTCAAATCAGGAGAAATAAATAGGGATAGAAAAGGAAGTATAACAAGAAGTCAATTACAGCAAAAGGCGATACTGAAATACATAGATGGACAAGCAGCACGGTGGAACCATCAATTACGCGAAGATACTTCAACAACAAATCGGAGAGTCAGGGAAGAAATCCAATAGCCTTATAATTTAATGGTATGAAGACTTCGTTATAAATGGGAGCTAAGTTAATGGTTCGATCTTGATCGTAAACTTATGCTGTCTATCTTTTTTTGATGAAAAAGAAAAAGAAGAAAGCCAAGAAGAGGAAAAGCATAGAATCTGCTATATATCATCCAGGAGATATTCTGTTCACATAATTGTGGCACAATAATGATGATGTGTTTAGAGACCTCACAAGAATTCAGTGTAAGAAACAAAATGGAATTATGCTCGACATTAAGTCTCTCCGTGAAAATACACTCATCTCACTCTAACCAATAGCAACATCATTTGGAAACTCATGCAATTACATTATATGTGGTAACTAATTTGAGTAAATTAAAAAAATTAATTAAAATAGTTATTTGTAATAAATATGAGTTAATTTTTTTAAAGTACCCTTTTAATTATGACTACCTTTGATAGAATCTTTTAATATGTGTAATCAATAGAAAAACTCTAGAGAATGAGTTATAAATTTAAAAAATAAAATGGATTGGGATTTTATACTTAGAATCAAATTTAAAAGTTCTTATATCAAAAATCAGAATTGATACGTTTTGCAAAGCTTGCAATAAGATTCTCCCAATTAATTAATTGTTTCTTTTTGAATGGATCCCATATGCGCGCCCAAAAGATTAAAAGAGCATAGTTTTTGGACATAATCATGCCGCCTGCTGCCATGATTGCGCAGGCTATAATATTGGAGTGTGTGCATGGAAACTGAGCTTAGGACCAATTAATGTCGGTCAAATATATGTCTTTATGCCTCTTAATTAAAGGTACAAAAATAAATAAATAAAGTCCACAACTTGTCAACTTGTTCCCTTGTGTGTGTTGGACTAATAAAGTAGTGTTGTAATGTGAACCTAACAAGTTGCAAATGTCGTATAAAGAATCATTAAGTACTGTAAAAAGAAATAACAACAATAACGGAATAGAAAAATGACAAGGTATTAATTGTATTGTGTTAAGGATTAAGTATTTAACAAGTGATATTTAAGTTTTGACAAGTTGGTATGGGAATTAGTTTGAGTGTTTATCATAATAATAAGCACCATAAAACTCATCAAATCTTAACTATTAAAATTTAATACGAACAGTTAAGATTTAATATTTAGTATTTTTGTTTTCTTAAAAGTATTTTTTTAATAAGTATATAATCCAAAATAAATATAGCCTCTTAATTGTAATTTTTTTAAAAATAATTTTTTAGTTTAAAAATTACTAGTTTAAAATTTTAAATCCATACCATTAAGACTGTATCTGAATGTTTAGGTTTTAACATAATGATGAGCATTATAGTACACTGAAACTGGTTCCGATTGACAAGGTCACAACTTTCCTCCGGTTTTTTTCCTTTGGTAAGCAGGGTTATTTCAGTCATTTTGCATTTATTTCATTTCAATCCTCGAACAGAACCTGCATTTTATTTTAAGATTCTTTGATTCTGATTTGAAAAATAAATGCTACAGGGGTCCTTTATTAAAATTCTCCCATTAAAAATCATATATGTAGTTCACAAAACATGAAATCACATAGAAAATTCGGTCTTTTTTTATTAGTCTGTGGCCAAAAAGTAGTGATATTAGTTAAAGGATCAGTTTAAGCATAAATTTTATAAAAATTATTATCTAATATGATTTTTTTCCCAATAAAATAGTAATCAACATATAAAAGATAGAGTAAAATACTCTGATTACTTTTTTAGTTTGCATCAATTACACCGACCTCCTTTCTATTTTAAAAATATATAGTTTGATCCAATTAGTTAATACTGTTAGAAATATTCTAAAAAAAATCTTAAAAAATATTATTTTTACTCAAATTATATTAAAATAAATTTTATTTACTATTTTACCTCCTCATTCTAATAAATCCCTAAATTATATTTTTACAATCACACGAACTTCATTCAGTTAAGGCAAATGTAAAAGAATTGATTAAAAATTTAACCAATATTTTTTATAAATATGTATATACTTGACTAAATATGTTTATACATTTTTGTAACAAAGACGCATTTAAAAGTTTTAAATTATAAATTTAAATAATTTATAAAATATTTCAAACTTATATCATTTAAACTTTATGATAAACAAAAATTATGTATTTGAAATATGTTTTTACAATTTAAAAGAAATCAAAGTAAATAAATTTTAATGAATGTGATAAAAAAATTAAATTGTAAATTTTATTATTTAAATAAAATTAATAAATTGTATAACATATTAGAAATTTTAAAAATATATGTATTAGAGTTATTTTTTGATTTTATAAAAAATATTTTTTGGAAAATATAAATGTCTAAATAATTATTATGTTAAGAAGGGGCATTTTGGTCAAAAAGTAATTTAAAGTCAAATAACAGTTTGGATAGATGGAAATAGAATCTTAAATATAGGAAGAAGGTTTGCGTAACATATATTTTAATTTTAAGGGAGATTTACATAGGTTTTTAAAATAGAAGGGATGTTTCTGTAATTAAGATAAAATAGAAGGGTGGTGGCGTGTTTTATTCTAAAAGGTAAATTGTTATTTGTTGCTATTAATTCGTTATTCATTTTTTATTTATCTAGATAAGTGTCAATATGCCAAAGAGAACCTTTTAAAATTTTTTAGAAAAAGTCTATTCGTATGCTTTATCATGTGCAAATATTAATTTAATTCTACGATCATCATATCAATTCAAGACCTTTAACTTCCTCTGTTGATCTGGTATATTGAAAGCATATATATCTAAAGGGCCCAATTAATTCAATTTCACTTCTTTTGTTACAACGCAATTATAATAACGAGGAAGAGATTCTTGTTAAGATTATATTGGATGGAACTAGCAATAATGTTCTAATAATTAAATCCAATTATTTGAAAATTATATTACACTAATATTAGTGTGAATTTTCACTCATTTTTCTTTCGTCCCCTTGTTGATTTTCTATCTTCCTCTCACACTCATGATTTTCTATCAATGTTTTCAGAGTAGTTCAACTGTCTCTTTCCTTGTGTATTCTTTTAAATTACTATGCTTTATATTCTTCCAATCTGTCTGCAACCCGAGTCTCCTCTCTTTTGTCCCATTAATACATTAATGATTTCCTATTGGTTTCAGCAGGTTTTATTATGTAATTAAGCGGTTCAAAATTCAAGAATAATGTTATTTATTAATCTTTTGATATTATATATATTTATATATGATGAAGTCATTATAAGTGTTCATGCATATTATTCCTCGACTTTGCGTATCTATTTTAGGGGAAAAAAGAAAACTTTTTTCCCATACCCACATACATTAATTTAC